GACTTACGCGAGTGTGGTGTTCGCTCACGCGGCCCGCACACACATAGACACCCTCCAATCCCTACAATCCCGCTTTTGCAGGTTAGCTGTCGGGGCTCCGTGGTTCGTGAGGAACGTTGACCTACACGACGACCTGGGCCTCGAATCAATTCGGAAATACATGAAGTCAGCGTCGGAACGATACTTCGATAAGGCTATGCGTCATGATAATCGCCTTATCGTTGCCGCCGCTGACTACTCCCCGAATCCTGATCATGCAGGAGCCAGTCACCGTCGACGCCCTAGACACGTCCTTACGGATCCATCAGATCCAATAACCTTTGCATTAGATGCCTTCAGCTCTAATACTAGGGGCAGGCTTAGGGACCCCGGTAACCGTACTCGTCGAACTCGACAAAGAGGTCGACGTGCAACCTAACCCATGCATCAGCCCGCTGAGTTTCTCGCCGGATCTTCTCAGCGGGTCGCGATTCCGATCCGGTAGTAGATTCATTCGCGAAACAATTGCTCTTGAGTTGTTAGGTCTCCTTCGGAGGCGCTCGAGCACTTGTTAGCAAATCCCACCCCTCTTGGCTGAGCCTTTGCTCGCCCACCTGTCCTGGTGAAACTGGAAAGGCCTTCGGGCCACCAGTAAACTTTCAATAAAAAAAAAATAAAAAAAAGAAAATGACGGTGGCTTTGCTTTACCCCATCGCTTGGGTCAGATATGTATGTATGTATGTAACTAGCGGTGGCCACGATAAGAGGGTTATCGTGTCTTGCCGCTTTATCAATGTAGCGTTCTGACGCTTCCATAAGCCACTTACGTATTGGTTCTAGATTTAGGTCGTCGTGAATATCAACATTCCTTACTTACTACCCTGCTGCAATGGCTATTTATTCTGCAGAAACGGGATTGGATGACTTCGAAACTGACCAGCAGCTTTTTTTTTTTTTTAAATATAAGATTTACTAGTGGCCCGGAGGCCTTTCCAGTTTCACCAGGACAGGTGGGCGAGCAAAGGCTCAGCCAGAAGGAGTGGGATTTGCTAACAACTGCCCGAGCGCCTCCGAAGGAGACCTAACAACTCAAGAGCAACTGCTTCGCGAATGAATCTACTACCGGATCGGAATCGCGACCCGCTGAGAAGATCCGGCGAGAAACTCAGCGAGCTGAAGCATGGGTTAGGTTGCACGTCGACCTCTTTGTCGAGTTCGACGAGTACGGTTACCGGGGTTCGAGTACGGTTACCGGGGTTCCTCAGCCTGACCAGCAGCTACGGAGACATCCCGTAGTAATACAATGGAAACTTACCACTCGTGGCTCCGGAAACCACTCTACATCAGGTTGATAATCGGCTCGTTCACAGATATATACAAATAGAAATAATAAATGACTTTACCTACGAATTTTGAACGATACATAATAAAGTATGATTGAAAATTCGTCCGCCACCAAGGTCGCTTAATTTAGACTCAAGTAGATGTCATCGAAGTGTTGTTTATTTATGTTGCCTTTCACGGTTATTTCTCAATGAAGACGACATAGTTGCGGGCACCATTAATTTATTATGGGACCAAGAGAGTTTGTGTTAGCAGTTCGCATAGTGATGAGGCCTTTAAGAAGTCTCGATGAGACAGTTTCAACATTAAATCCACGTTTTCTCGCAAATTAGAGACCTTTCTGACTTCACCACCGTTTTTGAAGTGAAACTTCCTTATCGGCGTTGGAAAAAAATTTACCGTCACATTTTTCGGTTACGCGTCACTTTTTTCCGTTACGCGCCATCTGTTTTGTATTCATGTCTATGATAATAAAATCCTTTTGTTTAAACTTTATCTAATTTAACTTTTTTGTATTCATGTCTATGATAATAAAATCCTTTTGTTTAAACTTTATCTAATTTAACTTTTTTGTATTCATGTCTATGATAATAAAATCCTTTTGTTTAAACTTTATCTAATTTAACTTTATTTAACCAATTTCTAGAAAGTTGCATGTAGATCATTTTTCGAAAAATAAGGCCATAAACAAGTTTCACTTCTTACGTGTGTACACTAGTACACGCACACATTTTTTTTTTGTTGTTTTTTTTTATTACTAAGCGGATATGTTCCATACACAAACCTGTGTATTATTTTTAGTGTGATGATAATACCCGCCATACTTGTATCAAATAATGAAAATATTCGGAAAAATCCGAAAAATCGGAAATATCCGAAATAAGTATGTTTTTTAAATAAATCCACCGCGAAACCACTTACTAGCATATTTATTATATAGATGTGACGCATATCTATGTTCAAGTAAACATAGTTACTGGCTTAAATGTATTTGAAAGCGTTAATATTATTCTTTTAGTGGTTAGGAACGGCAGAAGTATTTGTTTTTGCAGAAATGTATTCGAGAATATTCGTGTATTTGGTTAAGTTATTTTTTTTTCTCAGGTAAGCTTTTCGTATTCTGACCGGATGTTATTATGATTAATGTGACCGAAGTGCTATGCCGGAATTTTTATAATATAAAAATAGCCAGTAATTGATTAGTGTTAATGACGTTTGCGCATATATTTTTTCATTTTTAAATTGCTCCATTGCATTTTTTTTTCCTTAATTTTTTTCTTAATAACACTTTTTAACTTATTCTTATAGCGTTCTTATAAAGCTTTGTTTAGGCATTATGAGTTCTACTAATTTCTATGTATTTTAAATTTCAAAAATTTACAAAATTATATTTAATTGTTTTCTTAAAAGTTATGTTGAGACTTTTTTTGGCGTTCCGTATTTGGATTGGGATTTTCACCCGAAATATCGTACAGCTTGAAATATCTAAAAAAACTACTGAAGTCCTGAGTACTAATATTTGTCGAAGGATTTCTGATAGTTACCTGTTTCTATCCGTGATTTTCAAGTCATATAGTATATAGCCTTTGCAGTAGGCACTTGGAAGGAGAAAAAATATATATATATATATATAATGGTATAAAATGTATATAATGATAGTTATGTGTTAGATTTTTTAAGTTACTAACATAGATTATAAGTAATTATTACTAACAAAATGTTATGGTTTAAAAAAAAAAAATAACTGAAATAAAGCATTAATAATAATAATAATAATATAGTTAAAGCGGGCAAAACATTTTAGAGAATATGTTTTTTTTTTCTTTTTTTTATTGCTTAGATGAGTGGACGAGCTCACAGCCCACCTAGTGTTAAGTGGTTACTGAAGCTCATAGACATCTACGACGTAAATGCGCCACCCACCTTGAGATATAAGTTCTAAGATCTCATTATAGTTACAACGGCTGACCTGCCCTTCAAACCGAAACGCAATTACTGCTTCACGGTCTTTTATTGTAATGATCATAAAAGATATAAATAACAAGATTTGAACCGTCGGCCTAATTAGCTATCACATTAACATAACAACAGATCTTCCATTTCTCAATCCCACGTATGGATAGTCGTCTTAGCAGACAACACTCCGTTAAAAAATCTTTGAATTGTTTCTGAATAATATTAGAAAAAAAAATACGACACTGCTTTGAAGCCACGACAAGGAAAACATGGGCATTATGGTTTTTTTTTTATTGCCCTTGTAGGCAGACGAGCATACGGCCCACCTGATGGTGAGTGGCTACCGTCGCCCATGGACTTCAGCAATGCCAGGGGTAGAGCCAAGCCGTTGCCTACCGCTTAATACTCTCCACAAATTGGTGAAATTTCATGTTTAAATACTAAAATTTTAAGTTATAAGTTTTCACTTCCTTCATTGTTTTTTATCAAAGTGACCTTCAGTTTGTTTTCCTCATTAGGGACTGTGCTGGAAGGAATTCCGCATTGAAATAAGCAATGCTTTACATTACTGTTTTTTCTTCATACACATTTTACAACAATTATTATTGTGTACACAGTGGTGGATTTACAATATCGGCAGTCGGGGCAAGTGCCCAGGGCGGCAAATTTTTTAGGGCGGCAAAATTTTGAAAGTAAAAATGTTTTTTTTAGTCTTATCAAGATTGCTCAATAAAATTAAATAAATTCTAATAATCAATAATTTTCTTTTTAATTGATAATTCAAGAAATCTAATTCATCTATTATTTGTGAATCATTATTTTGGCACTTTTGGTAAAAATTAATAATCAAAATGATTTAATCAATTTATTTCCTTGGAGATTTAAAATAATAATCGATTTTTCTATTTTCTGTAATTAAAGAAATTTAATACGTTTTTTTTATGTAATATAATTATGAGTCACCCTTAGTCAAAATTTATAATTGTTAGAAAAAAAACAAATATTTATTTATGTTTTTGGAATATGTATATGACATAAAAAGGGAAAATTTTCCGCAATAAAGGAGTTATTTTAATTTTTTTAAACAAAATTAAATAATCTATAAGTTTAGTTAAAATTCCAGTATTGGGTCGGATTTTTTTCCGGTGCCCAGGAGCGGCATTAAGTTTAAATCCGGCCCTGTGTGTACACATAAAAATGTAATTAGGAAATTTCCCAAAATAATATATTCTTCAAACCAGAAACATCACAGTTTCTTTAATTTTTTTTTATTTAACTGTTTATTTTACTTCTGTTAAAAAAATCTTGATAGGCTCAATCTTCTAAGATTGATCGGTTTGAATGCTGCATGTTTGGTTTGAATGCGGTGCTGTGTGCACGTCGCTCCGCAGATTTTTTTTCCTAACTATGCTGATAGACTTGAGAGGCTATTTCAGCTTCACCTTAACGTGTGTAGGTGAGCTCACGGGGCTCAAACCGGAGTGTTGCTAACGCGGACCCTAGCAAGAGCAGTGCTTCGCAGAATTTACCACCGGATCGGAAACGCGACCCACTGAGAAGATCCGGCGAGAAACTCAGTGGGCTGTGTTTATGGGTTAATTCGCTCGTCGAGCCCTTGGTCGCAAGCAACGGGTTCGACGAGGACCGTGACCGGGGGCTCCGCAGGTGCCGGCGGAAGATCAGCGGAGCAGTATAACCCCTCCAGGTTACTAGAATAGGAAGGAAAGAAAACCGATTGATTCGCTACTATTAGGCATTGCTCAGCCATTAACCCTTTCCGATTGGAGACCTTTATTTTTTGTTACTTTAATTTTTAATATATTTTCGGCTTGCAATAAATCTATACATATAAATAAAATTGGAGCGTCTGTTTCTAACATTGAAATAATCGCTTTTTACTACATGCATATGAATATATTATTATATACGGTACATACACCAAAATAAGATTTTTTACAATTTTTGTCTGTCTGTCTGTCTATTTGTTCCGGCTAATCTCTGGAACGGCTGGACCGATTTTGACAAGACTTTCACTGATAGGTAGCTGATGATCTAAAGAGTAGCTTAGGCTACTTTTTTAGGCTAGCTTCGCCCCGCGGCGTCACCCGCGGTACAACAATAACCGCGGTTAACATCGTGGGACTCAACTATCAATAATAAAATTTTATGTTTCCGAAGCGAAGCGAGGGTGGGTCGCTAGTCAATAATAAAATTTAATGCTTCCGAAGCGAAGCGAGGGCGGGTCGCTAATGTATCATAATATTATTGAATGTTATTTTGTCTCTACTTTGACCTAAATTTTTGTCTCAAGGAGACCCTTGATTAAGTCTCTGTGTTCATGGTAAATAAGTGGTTTACACAGCTGTATACATCAGGCGAATAATATAACTGCCTATACAACAATATATACAAGAACAATTACGACAATCTGTCGGTGCATCGAGATATGACAGCCGCTCAGATGAAGACGTTCCTTTTGCTGTCGCTTAATTAAAGGAAATATATGTTTTTTTTTTTTTCTTAGCTGTAAATCGGAAGCTCGAATTAATGACGTCACCGAAGCCAGAATCCTCATTGACCACGACGGAGGCGCCGATGATTCTTTAGCGATATTCACAGCGCTGCTGTATGAGGAGAAATTCAATGGGTATGTGATTATCTGCCAATGTATATTAGATCGATAACCTAAAATCAAAGGTTTGTTTTTGTGCATTCCGTAATAAAGTAGACGTGTATTAAAAAACGTGATTGCTGAACGTAAATTGCCTTTGCCTTAAATGTTTTTTTTCTACCTATTCGCTGGTAGCTTAGGGGGCAATTCCAGCCAGAGGCGGATTATCCATAAGGCAAACTAGGCACGTGCCTAGGGGCGTGTAGTCACAAGGTGCGTGCGAGCTCAGAATTTTTAAATAAATAAAGAAAGTAACATATCGACGATTAAGAATTAAATACTGATCTATAATCTAAAACTATAATAGATTATATTGCACAAGCATCGATATACTCATATTATGCAATATTGCGGTTTGTTTGTATTTCATTCGCGCATTAGCGTAAATACAAGGGTCCCGGTCTACTAAAGTCTAGGGTTTGATGATACAACGTCATCGTAATTGCAAAAACAACTAGTTAAAATTTATAGTATTATGATGGCTATCTATGGCCGTTACAGGGGCGCCGATAACGTGATTGCTTAGGGCGCTCTGGACCTATAATCCGTCACTGATTCCAGCTACGCCCGCTCGGGTAGGTGAGCTCTCGGACTCAACCTGAGACAATTTGCTAACACTAGCCCTAGTAACAGTAGTAAGTACTTCGCAGAATCTACCACCGGATCGGAATCGCGACTCTCTAAGAAAATCCGCCGCGAAGCTCAGTGGGGTACCTAAAATGTTTTCGAATCGCCAAATCGTCGCAATTTCACAGCCCTACACATTTGTTTGCAGCTAATGTATTAAAATCGATTAAATTGAATTCAATTATTATGAATACGTATCGGAAGAATAAAATAAATGCGTGCAAATTGATTATTTTATTGCTCAGTCTCGTTGGTTGCAAGGTTTTTTTTTTATTACACGCAAAAACACGAAAAGCGATTACATTCCTGTAAATAACGACCATATTTACTTTTACGATTGCATTTAATTTTTAAATATTATTATGGTTTTACAAATCCGACAATACAACTGATATTTCGACCTCATGTCACAAAGTCGAGTGCAACATTAACAATGACAATGTCAATGACGACGTTCACGCACATAGTAGGAACACCCAATAGGCTCTGAAAAGTCTATATTTTCATGAAAGACATTTCGCTATCGGGATTGCGGTGCTATTGTTTTTTTTTTATTGATTTTGTATCCAAGCAACCAAAAAAACCCCAAAAAAACAATCTGAAACCTTGTTTGAAAAAGACCGACTGAAAAAAATTAAGCGCGCACGGCGGGAAGTCGTTGGATGCGGAAGGCGGAGGACCGCATTATGTGGAAGGCATTGGGGAAGGCCTATGTCCAGCAGTGGGCAGATAAAGGCTGATGATGATGATGAACACAGCGGTCAGGGATCATCGTGGGGGAACTTTCACTCCAAAACAGCGTGGTACGTAACACAAATTTTGGAAACGCACTATCGATGAGAACAATGGTTCTATTATAAGTAATACAGATGAAATGCGCCTGTGGAAAACGGGTCCGATCTTAAAAAGGAAATGACAGGATTCTCTAAAAAAAGTCTTCCAAGCACTCCTCATTGAACATACGGTACAAAACCAACAGAGAACCACAGATCCAGAGGTTCCAAGCGATCCGTGAGAACTGAACGCAGACGTTTCCCCAGTACTAGTTATAAAGGAAGAATCCTAGCTTTGGATTATTCAATTAGTTTACTTCTTTCTTATTCCAGACCGAAAGTCATAGGTTTGACTACAACACACGGTAACGTCAATGAAGATCAAGTTTACGTAAACAGTCAAAGAATATTGGGTGTGGCGAACAGAAGAGATGTGAGTTGATTTGATATGGTTTACTGGTAAGACCTCTTGTGAGTCCGCACGGCTAGGTACCACCACCCTGCCTATTTCTGCCGTGAAGCAGTAATGCGTTTCGGTTTGAAGGGTGGGGCAGCCGTTGTAACTATACTGGGACCTAGAACTTATGTCTCAAGGTGGGTGGCGTATTTACGTTGTGGATGTCTATGGGCTCCAGTAACCGCTTAGCACTAGGTGGGCTGTGAGCTCGTTCACCCGTCTAAGCAATAAAAAAAAGGTATAAAATTATTTTTAGCCATAAGAAACCCGATGATGGGTGTGAGTTTTTTTCATGTAGTATTTCCGTCTCTTACAGTCTTCGGATATACGCATTCAGTTCTGATCAAATCGTCGACTCTGTCTACGTTTCTAAGTAGATTTTGAGGGAACCATTCTGGTACTCTTGGCTTTGAATAGCTTGTAATAAGTTTGAACGATTTCAATGGTACTTCAGTTCAGTAGGTACCATTTGAGGTTTTAGCGCAGTGGACAAGAAGCTCACTTAATTTACTTAAGGTCCACTTTTTTGGGCCGGAGATCGAACCATGGGGGAGAGCCCCATGTTGAGGGGGCATGGGGGGTATGTGGAACTATTTTTAAGCTCATGACCGAATCATGAAATTCCGTAACGAAAAAAACCTTACACCCCTCACTCCGCCTACCATGTAGCTCGCGTTCAACACATTCACACGTTGCACTTGCGTAGTGTTTGTGAATAAGCGCGTGACGTGACGTCACACTGCATGCGCATCATGAAAAGTCTACCCATCTCTCTTTCGCGCGGTCTAGCTTATGAGTGTGAAGGGGACAGTTAAGGTTTTAATTTTAATAATGTTTAATATAGCGTGGTCTTGTTTTATTATTGTTTTAATATTAAATTATCATTGTCTAATTATAATTGCATAAGTTGATGAAAAATGCTATGCAATAGCTTTACCGCGGCAGTTCCCGAGTGCCACACGTTTTTTATTTTTTTATTTCAGTAGTCGTAAGTATTAAAACGCTACGGGTAATTACGACTAGATACATTAAGACCTTAATAAATCAAAACTTTGAACAGCAATAACCTTCTTTGCCAAACTCAAAGAAGGTTATTCGAAGCAATTTTCAGAAATACATGCAAAATGTTAAACAAATGAGTTATATCTGTTCTTATTGTAAAGGGTAATTATTTACCATCTTAGGTATATCTTACCATAATAGTTACCATCTACATGGGGAATTTCGACTATTTAAAACGATAGAGGAAGAAAAAAATAACCTTGAAATTACAGGTACCGATCTACAGAGGCTGCTCTGAGCCACTAATTGGAGGTTCTGTTAGTGACTTCTACTTTGGAAACGATGGTCTGGGAGATCTTGAGAACGTTGAATACCAGAGCATTGCGGCTGAGAAGGAACACGCCGTTTTTCGTATAATTGAACTGTCAAAATTATATCCAGGTGGTCTCATTGAATATTTCATATTTGTAATTTTTACCACGTAGATGAACTTTACAATAATGTTTGGAGACTTTTTGGCAGGAAACCGAGAAGTGAAGTGGTGCGGATTGTTTTATTTTCATAGTTTGGTGTTTCTTCAACGAGTTATTTAGCATCTTTAAACAGTCAGTGGACGTTTTTCCTCGTGGAGTAAGCCGCAGTAAATTCCTATTTACATGCATTACCTTACTTTATCACATGTCGTTTCACTACTTTTGTTTCAATTTCTTTCCAACGGATTAAAAATTCAAATGAATCAACCTTATTTCATTCATATTTAATAATAGTTGAAGCCTTTTATGATCTCGTTACTGGCAACTGGATAAATTGCTATAGTGAAAAAAGAGAAAAGAAGAAAGTAAACTTTTTATTGGCATAGGGTAACCAACTGAGTGACTAACCAAAAGTTAGTCCAGTTAGTCCATAATCTATAGACATCATACCGTGTGAATTTCCTCGCCCTCCTTGAGATAAGAGTATATAGTCTCAACTTCTTCGGCATAGTGACCTATAAAGTCTTTCACGCCGAAACCTGTGATTTCTCTCTGACTGAATATGAAATACGATGAAATTTGCACGCAAATTCAATATCCACATCACCAACAAACTATGACAGAAAAGCTTCTGGACTTCACATCACAATATAGCTTCGTCTTCGCCATTTTGATTTTAAAGAACATATTTATTATTATTCTTTACACTTCTTCACTTTCAGGTAATTTGGAAATAATCGCTATTGGTCCCTTGACTAATATTGCTATGGCTGTGAAAATTGATCCGTTTTTCCTAAGTCGACTATCACGCCTAGTTATAGGTGCTGGGTATATATACAGTAAGTAGATAGATTAAACTTTACTGAGAGAGAAAAACTTTAGTGAGCTTTTTAACCTTTCATTAAATGCGGCTCTACATTGCGTTTATGTGAGGTCGTGAACTGGAGCTAAATACCGTTAAAATACCTGGTCAATTTTTTACAATTAAACTTAATCCAGATGATAATACATTAATATGAACCATATTTTGCCAGTCTGATAATGAATACGGAAGTCATATAACAGAAGCTTTAAGAAGATGATAGACGAGTTCTTAGAATCATTTTGAAACATGGCGGTGGAAGTCGACCTACAGTAGAAGAAGTAGAGGAAAACTAGGCCTAGGACAGGAAACAGTTGAGAAGTAAAAGTTATATGAAGAGAGAAATGCTATTAGGGATGAGTTATGGAAATGCAGTAGCTTAAGTTGACGTATCTACACATTTGATAAATAGCTTCGCCGAATATTAATTAACAGTGGTTCGATCCATAATGCATATGTGTTAGATCAACAATATGGCAAATGATGACAGCTTTGTAGGCAGCGGCTTGGCTTTGCCCCTGGCATTGCTGAAGTCCATGAACGATGGTAACCACTCGCCACCTGGGACCGTATGCTCGTCTGCCTACAAGGACAAAAAAAACAAAAAAAAGGGGCAACAAAAAAAGCTTCCAATGTAAGTTCAGAACTCACTCACGAGTGCTCATGTTGCCAGTTATTGATTGGAAACTTTCAGGTGATGACTACAAAGAACCAGAGTTCAATGTGGATATGGATGTCGAAGCATACCACATCGTGACAAGAAGCGCAAGCCCTGATATAGTCACCATACTGCCTTTCTCGCAAGTCCGAACATGGTTGAATATTAGTAATGTATGTTTGTATTGCATAAACGGGTGAAGAAACTTGGTCCATCTGATGTCAATTAGCCTAATTAACTTCAAAAACGTAGAGACCCCTGCTCGCCTTTATAATATATTAGTTCTAAGTCTCAGATTTTAGTTCAAACTGGCTGCGCCACCCTTCAAACCAAAACGCATAAATGCTTCAGAATTTCTAAAACTAGGCAGGGCAGTGGTACCTAACCATGCGGACTCACAACACACCCTACCACCAGTAGCCTGTACCTGAATATGGTCTGCCCAAGTTAAGATATTGTTAGCACAGATTGTGTGCTATCAGATTCAGAAGATCTGCGTTTTCGGCTGTTAATCAAAAATGTGGTCCATACAGCCGTCTGAAATTTTATCCCACCCTACCAAATAATTTCCTAATATCTGTCCTCAAAAGTCGTCACCTTTACTATTCTTCCCAACTTCTAATTCAGTTCTGACAATAGAGCACGCTGCAAGCAGGCACGCTCCGATTTCGATACTAAAGCAGTCGTTAGACGATTGGGATTGAAATTTCAATGTCATATCTCAAGTTATCCATTAGTAGTATTAGACAGTCTGCTACTTTTTCAAATAGACAAAAAAAGAGATTTTTTTTCCTAGGTGAGCTCACTGGGCTCTAACCTGTCGAGTTGCTAGTACTAGCTCTAGCAAGAGCAGTACATTGCGGAATCTACCACCGGATCGGAAAGGCAACCCACTGAGAAGATCCGGCATAAACCGCACGCGATAGACCCAACTGACACTTTCCTATAGTATCGATCTGATAGTTTTGTTTTACAGGAATGGCGCAAGCAAACTCTGGGTTCAATTAATACGGATATAATGAAAGCTCAGAATTCTTACGAACGAAAATCATTGAGTAAAAGCCGTTGTTGGTCGACCCTAGACCCTGCCGTTGTTGCCATAGCTCTGGACGAGACGATCGCTGAGGAGACTGTCTTCTCAAACAACAGTGTTGTACTATGCGGTAATTATTTTTGGGAACCATAATTTGGCGTAATTTCGGGTCGTGGTTTGCTATGACCCTCGTCCCGATCTCTTTGTGGATACGAGCTTAATACAACAAAATAATAAATAGTCGGGAATAAATCAGGACGGTCATCCAACCCTAATTTAAGATTTCCAGTGTTATAGGTACCAAAGACTAATAGACTTACTTACATACGTTTAAATATATACATATATGTATATGTTATGTATTATGTATGTATGTAATGTATGTTTAAATGTATACGTATACAGATAATGAACCAGAAAAAGAGCAAACAAATCTGTTCATGATCCAATGTTTGCCCGATGTTGGAATCGAACCCACGACCCTCGGCGCAACAGTTAGGATTGCTAACTAATGCACCAACGAGTTAGTCAAAGAACAAAAGTGATAATAGTTAAAACTACTTTTACTTAGATACTACTGTCGTCCACGAATACTGCATAAAGTATTTGGGAAATAACATTATAATGACAATGAAAAAACGGGAGATTAAATTAATTATAAAAAAATGAAAAATAAATAATAGTTTAAAAAAAATAACAAAATACGCTTTTATAGAAAATCCAACTAAAAAATAGAAAATAAATTTTTATAAATTTGAATTAAAAATAGTGTAAGAAATAATGATTTCGTTTTGCAATTAAAAATGTTTTTACGGTTTAGTTTCTGATTCATTATTTCACGAATAGAAGCAAAGTCGACCGTGGCTCCGATGATAGTAAAATATTTGAAATTTTCGGATAATGCAAACGAAATAATAAATAAGTTTTAAAAATAGTTTTAAATGTGTGTGTTTTTTTCTAGGTTCAAACCGCGGCGTTGTCTTGAATGATTTTGGCTCAGAACCAAACGTCAAACTGTGGTACAGACTTAACATGCAAAAGTACAAGCAATTCTTGTTGAGAGTGTTTAGTGTTGAATAAATTTTTACATTGTAAACTTGTTTTCTTTACTTTAAAACATACGAAAATAATTATAGTTTAATAAACTCTGAATAGGTAATAAGGTTTTAGTACTGAGAAATTTGAAGGTACGAAATCTCTTGACTCAATTTAAGACTAACTCTTGAATTTCTTTGATTTAGTTCTAATGTGGACTACGAGATGGCGGTAATGTAAACACCACTTAAAACCGTAAATAGATATTATATTAAAAGTATTTAAATATAGTATGTTTAAAAAAACAAAATAAGGAACCTTCTTTATTCACCTTCAATCTATTGTGGCTTATCAACGACAACAATGAAACAAAGGACTTGATAAGTAAACTGAGAAATTTTAATAAAGTTCCTCTTTATTATAGTACAGATTGCAGAAAATTAACGTACCTACCTAATTGGTAATAATTTGGTGTTAGTTTTATGTTAGAATTATATAAGAAGTCAAATGAAGTCGACCTCAGCCTAATCTGAGTAGGTACAAAATGTAAATATGATAATAATATCTCGTTTAAGATAATTTCTCGACGTCAAATGAATGAATGAGAATTGTCGTGTATGACTACAGATAAAGATTAAGGCAGTCTTCTGATGTAAACTTTTGCGATTATTGCATAAATTAGATTCAGATACTTACGTCGTATTTAAACCAACAAGCATAGTTCTTGTTTTATTGCTTAAACTAGTTGACCCGGCAGACTTTGTAGCGCCTCAATCGATAAATAAAACACCTAAACTTCTGTATAAAACAAACAAAAGGAATCAGTCCGACGGGGGACACATCGAAGGAAAAACAAAATTGTTATTTTTATATAATTCCGAGCATTCTCATATTTATCTAACTTTTAAACCTTCTCTGGACTTCCACAAATAATTCAAGACCAAAATTAGCCAAATCGTTCCAGCCGTTCTCGAGTTTTAGCGAGATTAGCGAACAGCAATTCATTTTTATATATATAGATAGATAGATAGACTAGTAAAGGAGCGAATGGGCCTTCTGATGTTATGTGGTTACTGTCCTACCCGTCGGGTCGTAGCTGGAATAGGCTCTTAGGCTCTACTTACTTTGAGAAGGCGGCACGACACGAAAACCCTCTTGTCGTGGCTGCCGAAAATTACATACCCGATTCAGTGGACTGAATGGTAAACAATCGATGTCGCCCTAAACACGTCATTACGGATCCTCCCGGTCCAATAACGGTGCTTTTAGGTACCTCAAGCACCGGTCACCGTCCACGCCGAATCCGCCGCTTGCAACGAAGGGCTCGACGGTAAATTAACCCATAGACACAGCCCACCGAGTTTCTCGCCGGATCGTCTCAGTGGATCGCGTTTCCGATCCGGTGGTAGATTCTGCGAAGCACTGCTCTTGCTAGGGTCAGTGTTGGCAACACTTCCGGTTTGACACCCGTGAGCTGACACGTCAAGGCGAAGCCGAAATAGTCGCTCAAGGCTATCAGCATAGGTAGGGAATAAAAGGCTCTGCTGGAACTCAATCACGTCAACAACATAAATGCCGCCACCCACGAAGCAGGCAGGGCTTAATTTTTATTACATGATGTTATTTCTTCAGTTGTTCATTTCATGAGTTGAATACGTGTTTCATTAGAAAAGTTGGTACTTAAATAGATGCGGGATTCGAACACCGGCATTCGCATCGCTCGATAGGAACGTATCGAGCGTCTTATTCTTTAGGCCATGACGACTTCGTGTTCGCATAGTACTGAATATAATAATATAATACTTAAAATAGAAAATAATTATTTGACATAAACTTCAAATTTAATTTCGATTGTTATGGTTCACCAACCAATACTTTTTCTATACGAATATAGCAAAACGAATATATTAGTAGTCGTCGTGGCCTATCGGATAAGATGTCCGGTGCATTCGTGTGTAGCGATGCACCGGTGTTCGAATCCCGCAGGCGGGTACCAATTTTTCTAATGAAATACGTACTCAACAAATGTTCACGACTGACTTCCACGGTGAAGGGATAGCATCGTGTAATAAAAATGAAACCCGCAAAATTATAATTTGCGTAATTACTGGTGGTGGGACCTCTTGTGAGTCCGCGCGGGTGGGTACCACCTCCCTGCCTATTTCAGCCGTAAAGCAGTAATACGTTTCGGTTTGAAGGGTGGGGCAGCCGTTGTAACTATACTTGAGACCTTAGAACTTGTATCTCAAGGTGGGTGGCGCATTTACGTTGTGGATGTCTATGGGCTCCAGTAACCACTTAACACCAGGTGGGCTGTGAGCGCGTCCACACATCTAAGCAATAAAAAAAATAAAAAAAAACGTCAACCGCTTCAAAATATTAAAACAATAATAAAATAAGAACACGCTATATTTATAAACATTAACAAAAGCAAAACATTAAATGTCCCCCTCACGCTAGACCTTCACTCAGCTAGACCGCGCGAGAGAGAGATGGGCAGACTTTTCATGATGCGCATGCAGTGCCACATCACGCCGCACGCTTATTCACAAACACTACACAAGCGCAACGTATGAATGTGTTGAACGCGAGCTACATGATAGGAGGAGTGGGGGTGTTAGGTTTTATTTTCGTTACGGAATTTCTCGATTAAGTCGACGCGCTCAAAGCCCGCGCTAAAAGCTATGCAATAGCTTAAGAGCATTTCTCAAAATTTTTGACCATAGCCGCAATGTTGATGTCCCATACTTTGGTTTTTGATTATTTTTTTACTACTATGTATAATAATATATTATTATAAATAGCATGCATGACTGTCGTAACTTCATTTATATTACTTAATTATCAGAGAAAATATCAAAACAATAAATAAAACACACATACTACAATAAATATTTTATAATCTAAAACCAAAATTTTCGCACTATGGAAAATAAGTTGAGACCGCAGTGATTTTGAACTCATTTAAAACTCGAACTAAGCACACAGAGTACAAATGATAGTTCCTAATATTATTTTTAATCTATGGCTGCGCTGTGACGTCATCTTCTGGTCTTAGTTCCCGTCAGCGCTGCAGCGCACCAGTACGTGCAGCGGTGCTATAAGCTTCGCTTCACAAAGGTATTATTCACATTAATATATTATTTAATCTGTGATTGTGAGTCATTCGGCTACGAGTCTAATTTAAAAAGATAGCAGCGGTCGCCTGCATTGAAACGCTACGCTAAAATTGTTTATAAATCGCATTCTCGCTTGATTTCATCGAATTTAGTCGATAACTGTTTGTTGACGAAAATAGACATGTCTGTGAAGCTAAGTTATACGCTGTTCTCAATTTTAATATTATCACGTTATTGTGAATGGTACGTTATTTTATTATTCCAATGAGATGCTAATTTAGAATTTGTTTTGTGATTTTAAACAATCTTCTTTTAGAAGAGCTTAGTTCGGTGTGAAAACTATAACTCTAAATTCGTTTGAAGACAAGGAAAACCGGTTTAGAGGATTTTAATTTTTTTTCTTCTGCCGAAAAAGGAGCAAATGTAATCCTTTTAATTGCGAGAGTATATTAAAATTTATTAACGTAACAGCAAAATGGCGTTAGAACGCAGGATGGGAACAACACTGTTTAAATCGTATGTGTCTAAACATCGTACCTATAAATAGTTTTATTTAGTATTTATTGATACTATCTGACCCGTCGAACTTTGTAGGTACCGTCAAAGAGTCAATGATTGTGTTACAGATTAGCCGAACTAAATATCGCTTTGCCAATAAGGCATCACAATCCATGCGTATCGTGGCCATAGACATCTACAACGTAAATGCACCACCCACCTTGAGATATAAGTTCTAAGGTCTCAGTATAGTTACAACGGCTGCCCCACCCTTCAAACCGAAACACATTATTGCTTCACGGCAGAAATAGGCGGGGTGATGGTACCCACCCGCACAAACTCACAAGAGGTCCTACCACCAGTAAAAAGTGTCTGTGATTCTCTTCTCCCTTTCTTACCGTTTTCTCTCACTCACAACGCTCCGTTCTACACCCTTTTATACGTCCCATTCTTACCAATCCTACTTAAGTATTTGAACAAACCAGACTTTATTTTATATACATACAAATGTATACAGAAGATTAAGATTGTGTGTTTTGTTTGTGACAGTATGACAGGAATTAAGAGGAAATTCGTGATCGACAATGACGCTGGTGGCGATGATGCTATGGCCATATTCTTGGCCGCTCTGTTCGAGAAGTATCATGCCGGGTTCGTATTCCGTACACCCGGGATATCTTAAATCGAAATAATCATTTAAATACTACATTTAAACAGCAATATCAAATTTATTTATAAGAACATTTTTTTTCGCTGTTTTCCTATGGGGCTTTTTTTATTGCTTAGATGGGTGGACGAGCTCACAGCCCACCTGGTATTAATTGGTTACTGGAGCCCATAGACATCCACAACGTAAATGCGGCACCCACCTTGAGATATAAGTTCTAAGGTCTCTTACAACGGCTGCCCCTCCCTTCAAACCGAAACGCATTACTACTTTACGGCAGAAATAGGCAGGGCGTTGGTACCTACCCGTGCGGACTCACATGACATCCTACCACCTCCTATCCTCCTGTAATTCTGTTCCTGTTTCTGCTACGCCCGGAGAATTTGCTAACACTAGCTCTAGCATGAGCAGTGCTTCGCAGAGTCTACCACTGGATCGGAATCGCGACCCACTGAAAAGATCCGGCGAGAAACTCAGTGGGCTAAATAAAAGCAACCTAGTTTTTGTAATGGAAAATTAACACGGGTTCGCGAATTACTTCCATGATTAGGGATTCCATATAATGTAATAGAAATTAAAGCAAAAAATGTATCTCAGATTCAGTTCAAGTTGGAACTTCTTTTTTTTTATTACTTTCATTAAATCTCCAATTAAGTTTGTCTCTATTTAGCGCGGCTTTTCGAGAGTAATTTCCTTTGCATCGAATTTCACTTCGAAACCATTCAAAATATAAAAAAAAACGTATAACGAATCAAAACTATCCCAGTTTGA